TGAAATTGAGCATTACTTTTTTTTTTGTATATTACCAGAAATGTCATTACCTCCTTTTTCTTAGGTATTGTTGGATTATCGGCATTTTAGACTAAAATGCCCTTAAAAAAATTTCCTTTCAAAAATATCTTTATTCTGTCATTGAATAATAAAAATTCTACGAATGTTAAATTACAAATTTATCCTTAAACTATTTTAGATTTACAAAAAAAAATCTATAATTAAAATTTTATATAAAGTTTTGGGTTAAAATAAATTTTACCCTTTAATTAAACCTTTTATATTTTTAATTTTGTAAAAAATATATAAATTTTATGAATTAAATTTTTTTTAAAGAAAATATGTAAAAAAAATTCAACTTGTTAAAAAAACAAATACATAATAAGGACAATTTGGTTAAATATACATTCTAATAATATTTTATTCCTTTAACCAAACATGATAATCTTACATTCCTGCTAAACCAACCAAACATAAAATACAACATTCTCAGTAATCCTATTATCTGGTAATCTTTTATTCCCACTAGTAATCTTACATTCCGTGAACCAAACTCATCTTGGTGTGTTTGTTTGGGGGAATGTGATATTCGTATGGGAATGAAATCCACATTCCCCCGTTTGGTTGGACGGGAATGTCATTCCCGATAATCTTACATTACCAATAGTGGATTTTTTGTGGTATATTACCGGGAATGTCATTACCTCCATTTCCTTAGGTATTGTTGGATTATCAGCGATTTGAACTAAAATGCCCATAATTTTTTTAAAAAAATATCCTTATTATGTCATTAAATAATAAAAATTTTATGAAGGTTAAATTACAAATTTATCCTTAAATTATTTTAGATTTACAAGAAAAAAATCTATAATTAAAATTTTATATGAAGTTCAGGGGTTAAAATAAAATTTTACCATTTCATTAAACCTTTTTATATTTTTATTTTTGTAAAAAAAAAATATATAAATTTTATGAATTTAAATTTTTTAAAGAAAATATATAAATATTTTCCAACTTGTTAAAAAAAACAAATATATAATAATGACAATTTGGTCAAATATACATTCTAATAATCTTTTATTCTTCTAACCAAACACGGTAATTGTAACATCCCAATTAACGGGTAAGTGACTAAATTGTAAGAGTTTATAAATTTAGTTGGTGAATTAGAATCAAGTGATAAGTCTAGTGATTTATGGAAGAATTTTGTGTGTTGGGTATGATAGTAAATATGGAATTATAATAAGGGTAAAAGGGTTATTGAGTAAATAAAAGAATAAAATAATAATTGAGGGTATTATAATACCTATATGAATGAATTGAAGAGATAAGCTTTGAGACTTATCTTCTTCATCTTCTTCTCTCAACGTGAAGACACAAGCTTAAGGTAAGAATCTAAACCTTGGTCGTTTCTTTGATTTTTAGTTTGGAAATGGAAGTTTGGATGTTATACAAGCTAAAGGAAAGCTTATATGACATTAAAACAACAAGATATGTGTTTTAGAGATGGATTTGAAAAATGGGTTTTTAGATGAAATTTTGATATGGATGAGTTTTTGAAGTTTGAATAAGATTTTTGACTTGTCAATAAGTTAATTAAGGAATATGGAGTGTTAGAATTGATTAATATCATGTTTGAAATTTGGGTATGATTCTTAGTTGTAAGAATTTGAATGAAGTATTGGAAATAATAAAGTGTGGAATTGATAGAAGTTAGTTAAAATGGTTGTAGTTAAGTTGGTGGTATAAAAGGAACTTTGTATGAGAAAATCTAGTGAAGAATTGGTGATTTTCAGATTTGAACAGTAAATTTCTGGATAAAATTTCCAGATTATGCTGAGGGAACCAATACCCCCTGGGGGGGGAATCGATTCCCCCTAAATGAAAAATTGAATTTTTGGTTCATTGAACCGGCTTAAGTTATTAACATCAAATTTAAGGTTTAGGCTTCTGATAGTTGTTTTGAAATGTTATATTTATGTAGATATTGAGCCTAAACAAGTTCTGGAATAATCAAATGATTAGGATTGAATCAAAGCAAGCAAGGCTAAGGTGAGTGCAATTTAATTGTACTTATGCTATCGGAAAACATTGGCTCGCGATGAGCCAGTGACGGAGTTACTATGGTAATAAGTGACTCCTAAAATGTTAATATGATTGGTATGATTCTTATGAGTGCATTTTAGTTTATAGGATTATAAGGAATTGGACTTGTGATAAGTTTATTTTCAATAGTTGTTGTGTATGGATTATTGATTATAAGGATGTGAATGACATAAAAGGTATGTATACTTGATTATATGAAATGATATGTGCTTATATGTGCTATGTGATTTATGTGATATGCCATATGGGAAAATAGAGTATGAACTTTAGGAAAGGATTATATGATGTATATATGAACATATGTGAACAAAATAAGACATGCATGTTTACATGAATACATGAGAAATAATACAGGTAATATGATATGAATCTATGTGACTACGTGAGAAAGAATATATGTCTATGAGAAGACATAAGAACAAAGTATAAGCTATGTGATATATGAATATGAATTCATATGAAAAGTGACATGTATTACATGAAAGTAAACTACGTGATTATATGCACATGTGAATGTGAATCACATGGAAATGTTCTACGTGTAAGTGAATTATGTGTTTATGTGAATATATGAAATAATATAAAGAATAATGCCCATGATATGTGTCATGAGATCTAGAGGTATAGTTGGCATGCCAAGAGTAGAGGGTCTACGCGGTCATTCGGGACAAATTCTACGTGGTCCTTCGGGACGTATATGTATTCTTTGGAGCATGTATGAGGTCTTTTGAGACACATGTTTGATCCTTAGCATATATATATATGATTCTTAAGGAGTTTATATGAGGTCCTTAGGGACATATTATATGGAACTACGGTGCAATTCTACGTGGCACTTCGGTGCATTTCTACGCGGTCCTTCGGGACAAAATTCTACGTGGCACTACGGTGCAAATTTATACGAGCTGTGGTGACAGCATAGTGCACAACCTCACAGTACTCGCATACCTTAAGTTCTCAGTAATGTACATGGGCCTATAAAAGACATTGAAAGTATTTACAAGATTCATATGTGATATTATGTGCATTCCTAAGTGAAATGTATTTGTTATATGAGATTGGTAATTATTTATGCAATAGTGAGATTTGAAGTTTATATTATATGCTGATATAGTATATAAAGAAATTAGTGATGATCAAATGAGAAATGATAAGTACAAAATCATATGATAAATAGAGATTATGATGATGATGGTATATGAATATGTATGCATTTTATTATATGAAATGTTATATGGTTTTCTTATATATTTTATATGCCTCACTAAGTCAACGACTTAGCATGTGATTGTTTCACGCGTAGGTTATGAGAAGATGACGGTTGATAAAAGTTACTCAAGACAGGTCAGTTTCTCATTTCCATAGATCAGATCAGAAAAGAAATGTATAATTTGTATTTTGTAATAACGATAGTGGTTGACATGTAAATAAATGATTAAATCTGATAAGTTCTAATCGGTTTTGAAAAGTCATACGAATGAGTTTTGTAATGTTTTAATGAGTATATGTAATTAATAATATTCAATTTATTTTGTTAAATAAATTTGGAAGCATAGATGGGAATTTTTATAGTGATGAAAGGTTAATATGTAATTTTTGGAAATTACTGTAGCAGTTACTGTAGCATGAACAGTAACCGCGAGTTTAAACAAAATTTTCCAGTATCTTAGAGGGGAACCGATTCCCTTCTACAGAAAATCGATACCCCCACTGTTCATCGTACTATTCACTATTCACTATTCATACAATATTTTACTGTTTACAAATACGTATTTTTTTGAACTCAAAATTTTATAACAAGCACAAGTGAACCATATATGGTCGTATTTTCTTAATATAAATTAAAATGCTCAATTATTTTGAAATGAAATCATTTTTAAAAGTCAATGTGACATCTCGAACTCGTATTCGGGTCGGGTACGGGTTGGGGTGTTACAGTAATCTTATATTCCTTTTAAACTAACCAAACACAAAATACAACATTCCCAGTAATCTTATTTCCTGATAATCTTTTATTTTCACTAGTAATCTTATATTCCGTGAACCAAATGCACTCTAAGATTTTGCTTTATTGAGTTATATGACTATTAAAATTATAAAATAACCATTTAACTATTTATATGTTTGAAACTCGTCATTCTCCACTAAAAATTGGACGATCGATTAAGTTGGAAGTTCATGCTCACTAAGATATGATAAAAATATGATCCTAAAACTGTTTTAGCTGTAATTTTTGAATATAGTCTTTGTTTACATTATACTGTTGAGTTAATACTTAAAATATTATGTAATCGAATTAATGCTTAAAAACAATAACGATGCTAGTAAATATAATTAAAATATGATTTTATCATATCTTAATCAGCATATTAAGTCTAACTCAGACAATTATAAATTTTAATCGAAAATATCATTTTATAACTTTTAATAGTAATGATACTCAATAAAATTTTACATTATAATTAAAAGATAATTTTTAATAATGAAAAGATTCAATAAATTAATACTTTATAATTGAACGACTATTTGTAATTTTTTTTCTTAGAAGTTAACAAAAACACGTAATAATTAGCTCTGTCTCACTCCTCATTAGCCATCTTCCCCTATTTGTCCTAATCCCCGCCTCACGGTTATTCCCGCTCATTTTTAGCCATTTACTTTTTATTCAAAATCTCTCAACTAAAACCGCAAGGTTCCATTAAACTCCCATCTACCGTCAACCTCCACGTTAAAAATAACAATAATTTCAAATTTCTAAAATTCAAAAAACTAGAAATTTACATAAAAAGTAAAAACAAACAAATCCATCTTCCTCTTTCTCCCACCAGTGGGTCCTTCGGATTGAAATCGTTCATGTCTCTTCAACTCTTTTTCTATTTCCTTTTTAAAATTTTCGTTTCTCTGCAATTCTTCTCCGCCTTCCTGCTTCTACTTTCTTTGCAAGCAATAAAGCGTTAAATAAAGTTTTTATTCTAGAAAAAAACAACAAAGAAATGCTCTTCGCTTTTGTGTGTCAAGCCATGTGAGCTTACTGACACATTCTATCGTTCTTCTCAATTTTTCATATTCTTACGCATTCTCTATACCGAGTTACTGACTCAGTGAGTCCACGCGTAATAACACACACACACTCTCTCTCTAAGATGGCGTCTTCTTCTCGAGCAAGGAGTAGTTCGCCGTTTTCGTATCGGAAACCTTCGAGTCCGTTCTCATCCACTTCTTCAACTTCTTTTATGAGTAACAAACTAATGCCTCGTACGTGCTCGTCCTCGGCGTCTTCGTTTTTCAATTCGGGAGGTGGATACGGTTCTCGATCCATGACGCCGAGTCTGTCCAGGTATGATTCGATGTGCCAGGGTTCAAGCGGTTACAATGCTCGCACACCAGTGGATTACGCATCGGAGGAGATAGTTGGCGAGCAAGTGGAAGGGCGGATATCGGCGGATAGTATTTCAGTTACGATTCGGTTTCGGCCATTGAAGTAAGTGTAGATCTGAGTGTAGCTTGTAACTAGATCTATGTAAATGATTTTTTTTCTATTGTATTGCCTTTCATTGTTTTATATGTTCAGCTAAAGTATTTAAAAAAAATATTTACTCGTTTTTGTTTTGACTGGCTATAGTCAAAGGGAATTTCAGAGAGGGGACGACATCGCGTGGTATGCGGACGGGGATAAGATTGTTAGACATGAGTATAATCCCGCTACAGCTTACGCATTTGGTGATTTTCTAATTGCTTTTCACCTTTACGATTGAAACTTATTGCTGATAGTACTTCCCCCCACTTTTTAGTGTCAACTTCTAAAGTGATTTTCTATCTCTTTGAGAAGTATTGCGATTTAATAATTTGGTTTCCATTATTTTGTTGGGCGATTTGGTGGTGTTATAGTAGCTAAAACAATGTTTAATTAATAAAGATTTGATAATTTTGTTTAAACTGATTTAGCACAAATACGAGGTTTAAGCATTGTACTGATGTGAATTGCATATGCAAGTTACTGACCTTTTTTTCCCTTCTTTTTTACAGACAGAGTATTTGGACCTCATACAACTTCTCAAGAGGTTTATGAAATAGCTGCAAAACCTGTAGTGAAGGCTGCAATGGAAGGTGTTAATGGTATGAAAATTGAATTAAATATCAAGTTCTTTACCTTAGTGCTATAACAAAAAAGCCTAAAGATTAATTGATTGGAGGTCATTTATTTCCATGTTGCTCGATTTTGTTGATTTGTGTCAATGTTGAAACTGTATTATGTTTCTAATTGAAGCTAATTTTGGCTTGTTGAAATTTTAGGAACTGTTTTTGCTTATGGTGTTACAAGTAGTGGGAAGACACACACCATGCATGTAAGCTTCGGATCAAATTTCTTTTATATATTATTTTCCTACTTTTAATTGGAGTGTCATATAAGAATTATTATAGTCTCGCTGTGTCATTTTTGTTGCTGATATCTTTGTTGATTATAGTACATATAGTTTTATATCAGTAGCAAAGTTACAAGTTTATATTCCATTTTATTGAATTTTCTTGATCGGGCAGCTGCTGAAGGTAACACCAAAATAGATAACTGTAATATGCAATTTCCTCCACAAAAAGTACCTTTTAAAGTATACAACCTAAAGCCACTGGGCACTAAATATGGGATAGCACCAGTCAACACTTCCTTGACGTGGACAACCTCACCATGGGTTATCAACCTCAAATGGGGAATGAAGAACAACATAACAAATCTTGGACTCTTATATCATGTTAAGCATCCTATCTATAAACAATTGGTTATAGGTGGTGGGCCCAGCTTTAGTATAAGACCCCTGGAACCTCAATACTTAACAGCTATGTGATAACACCACTTAACAATAACAAATAATCAGTTGCAAATTGTATAGATGTTACACATTGTGAATTTGCACTGTTTATTTCTTGACATAAGCATTGCATTTGAATTTCTTGAAAGCATCTACTCAATGCGGTTCTTTCATCACTGTGCTTAACAACTTGAGAACCTAGACCTCAACTCCAGTTTTCTAAATTTATCTGTCCTAAAAGTTTGTAATAACATATGTAGCATGGTAATGTTTCAGGAAAGTTGTTCATTGATAATAACATCTTTACCTAAATATAAGTACTAATGAACTGAACCATGTTTTTCATTATGAGTCTTATGTTTGTTATCCAATCACATAACTATAAATTATTTCAGTCATCTTACTTTTGACTTGTTTCTTTGATAATTTGCACAGGGGGATCAAACTGCTCCTGGCATTATACCATTGGCAATAAAGGAAGTGTTCAGTATTATACAAGATGTAAGTGTTCTGACATTATTTATTAGGCCTAACTACAGAACTGTGAGATCAATGCCATTTTTTTCCCATTCCTTTTTGTCAAGTGTTGACCAACTATGCTTATGATCCAGACTCCAGGGCGAGAATTCTTACTTCGTGTATCATATCTTGAAATCTACAATGAGGTGAGTTGCAGTTTTAAGCTTATGATTATATTTATCAAATGGCCCCTGAAGTTAGAATTTGTTCCTTCAGGTTTCACATCTGTTACTTCTATTTATTTTATGATGTTACTTTAGTGAGAATGGTATATTGGTATTGTCCAACTATTAATTCTATAACCTATTTGGTTCAGTATCAGGATTCTGTTCCTTTCCATTCACGTTAGAACTCTTTTAATAAGATTTTGTATTGTTGTGCTCCTTATATCAGGTGATAAACGACTTACTTGATCCAACTGGTCAAAATTTGCGCGTTAGAGAAGATGCTCAGGTCTTTTTCAAAGTTTTGCCTTGTGTTTGGTTTATGACTTCAGTCTCATTCTCTCAAAAAGTCACGAGAAACACTGATACACACTATACTTCACTTGTAATATCCGTCTAATGGATCTTCTCATAAATGCATTTTCTTTCTGAGTGGCTTCGGGTTGAGATTATCTGAAATGATTTAATGAAGTTGCTGATTTAAATGCTTGCAATCACTGTAAATCAGTTTCTTACTTTTGCTTATGTTGGCATCACTTTTCCAGGGAACTTATGTGGAGGGCATAAAAGAAGAAGTGGTTTTGTCTCCAGGACATGCCCTTTCTTTTATTGCTGCAGGGGAAGGTGCTTTCTTTGGTTCCTTTTGTTGTTTTCTTTCCTTTTTCCGCCTGCTATATGAAATGAATCCTCTATTTGTGAGGGTTTTGTACTAAGTTCCAATGTGAGTGTTTGTGGGCAGAGCACCGTCATGTTGGTTCAAATAACTTCAATCTGTTCAGTAGCCGAAGTCACACCATATTCACACTGGTAAACATTTCTGATTTAGTAACTCATCATTTTCCTGTCAAAAAACTCAAAACTGGTTTATTCATTATTTAGTTTGTCTTAGGGAGTTTGGATGTCTGGTTTTTATTGTTTCACCACAATGGATACCTATGTTGTATATGCCCCTTTTTTTTAACTGATGACAAATTTGCAGATGATTGAGAGTAGCGCTCACGGAGATGAATATGATGGAGTGGTCTTCTCTCAACTTGTATGATTTAAGTCATTTTCCATTTTTCAAGAAAGAATGTTCCTTTCTGATTTCTGATAAATGGCTTGACTTGTTAATTTCTTTGTTCCTTTGTTCAGAATTTGATTGATTTAGCTGGGTCTGAGAGTTCAAAAACTGAGACAACTGGGTTAAGGAGAAAGGAAGGATCTTACATAAACAAAAGTCTTCTGACTCTTGGAACAGTAGGTCCTTGTATAAGCTTTTGTATAAGTATTGATGAATGTTTATTACTTCTCCATGCCGCCACCTGCTGTGTATTCTGAGGGAAAAATACAGAAAGCCTTGTGTATGTCCCTTAAACTACTCTGTAGGATTTTAATTTCTGTTTAGTTGGAGGGAAAATGAAGAGTTCAAATTTATTTTCTCCAAGTCTCAGTTAGTTGCTAATGACAACAACATTCTGTAGTGGATGACAGTTTCTGGTCGTATAGGTCATTGCAGTCTTGTTTTCAGTGCTTGGTATCTTTGACTACTGTTTTTAGTTTTATAAATAGATCCTCTGGTTTCAATGTGAAGGTAATTGGAAAGTTAAGTGAAGGAAAAGCATCCCATGTTCCATATCGAGACTCCAAGCTTACCCGCCTTCTGCAATCTTCATTAAGTGGACACGGACATGTTTCGGTGAGTTGATCATCTTATTTGTACATTTGTGCTAGTTATTTAGGTTTATTAGATTTCACCTCCTTCCAACCAAAAAGTCATTTCTTTCCATCTTCCAATTATTTCTCTAATCTCATTATGTAATTTTTGTATGCAATTATATATCCTTACCAATATGCGTCAAAATATATTAATCTATTGTGCAATTGTTTTCTTTTAATTACAGCTTATTTGCACAGTTACGCCTGCATCTAGTAATATGGAGGAAACTCATAATACCTTGAAGTTTGCAAGCAGGGCAAAGCGTGTGGAAATCTACGCTTCTCGGAATAAGGTTTATATAGCCTATGCTTTATATCTTTTTGCTATTCATACGTACATACATACAAGATCCAATCTTATGCTACATATATATACATACATATCTTTACACACATGTATATGTAAGATCCAATCTTATGCGACTTACAAATTAAATCATTTCCAGATTATTGATGAAAAATCATTGATTAAGAAGTATCAGAAAGAAATTTCAGTCCTTAAACAAGAACTTGATCAGCTAAGGCAGGGAATGCTTGTTGGTGTTAATCATGAAGAACTTATGATCTTAAAGCAACAGGTTTGCCATTTTCCTTAACATTGTCATATTGTTCCATGTAAATATGTAATGGCACCAACTATTTACTGTATTGTTCATGCTGTGTTGCATGGAATAGCTGGAGGAAGGTCAGGTGAAAATGCAGTCAAGATTAGAGGAAGAAGAGGAAGCCAAAGCTGCTTTGATGAGCAGAATCCAAAGGCTTACCAAGCTTATACTTGTTTCTTCCAAAAATTCCATTCCTGGATGTTTGAGCGATTTACCAACCCATCAACGTAGTAATTCTGTTTGTGAGGATAATGTAAGTTTTTATTATAAATTAGGTCAAACAAAAATTTGATTCTTTTATACTGATGGTGGATGAAGAAAGAGTGCACAAAAGAGCATGCATACACGTGTGTATATGTATATCTGTATCTATATCCTTAAACGGGGATGCATATCTATATCTATTTCACAGAAAAGGACAATGGCCTAAGATGATGATAAAGATGGAACGAAGTATGTTCTATTAGCTGGAAATTTTGAGCGTTGATACTTCAACCATGCATCTGTTTCTCTAAATCTATATCTCTTCTAGTGATTTTACAGCTGTCCCTGTCTGCTTTTCTTTACTGACTGACTGGATTATCTGGTCATGAGAACTTTTTGAGGTCTTAGTTCCTTCTATAAACATGATTATGATGTTAATTTTTGGCACTTTTCCTTGATCAGAAAGTGGATGTACAGGGTGATGGTGCCTTACTCATAGATAGTGAGAATAAGAAAGATACACTATCTTCGCTTGAGGCACTTGCTTCTGATTCAACTAATGAGTTTAAACACCAAAGATCCTCCAGCAGGAGGAATCATGAACTCTCACCAACCAGCAGTACTGTCACTGACACAACTCAAACGGGTGATCTTATTAGTGGCACTAAACTGCCGGCGGTAAGCTTCAGTTTAATTTATTTCTACACCAAAGATCCTTGTGTTTTCCTTATTGAAGTTGTCTTGTTCTAACTTGACATTTGGGTGTACTTGGATCCTCTTAATTAATGCTGAAATTTCAGTTTTCTGTCTTTTTCCTTTTCAGGAAAAAATGTTTTTATAATGGTTTTAAGTCTCTTTTGTTTTTGTTTAGGGCAACCCTCCTAAAAGATCTGCCTTTAGATCTATTAGATAAATTTTTGGGGGGAATGTAATATATATGAATGGGCTGTAAACAGATCTTGCTAACGTTAGGCAATATAACTTGTGAAAATCATTAGGCAGATTCCTTTTCAATCTTCTTCAGGGTTACCCTTTTAGACATTTATTCTTTGGTATAGCAGCATCATTTCAGTAAGGGGCAGAAAGTATCCTATTCTATTCCTTTTTCTAATTTATCTAGCTGTAGCTGAAATTTGGCATCCCTGGCCATCTACACAAACAATTTTGCGTGAAGATTCTTGCAAATTATGATATAATAATATACCATTCTCCATTTTTGATTTCTTTCAATTGCAAACCCGAACTGCCTTCTTCATTGGTTCAATCTTTCTACTTTCCCCAATTGGTAATTATCTCATGATGAAAGGAAACTCTTCTGTGGTTTTAGGGTGGGATGACATCAGATCAGATGGACCTTCTTGTTGAGCAAGTTAAGATGCTTGCTGGAGAGATTGCATTTAGCACCAGTACCCTGAAACGCCTCGTGGACCAGTCTGTAAATGATCCTGAGAGCTCAAAAAATCAGGTACTCTTTTCCTGTCTTACATTTTTTTCACATGTTAATTCAGAGGGAGTACCAAGGGACGTTCCTGTAGCTGGATGAAATGTTGTGTGTGCGTGTGTGTGCCGGGGGGTTGTTGTTGTTGGTATTCTAGGTGCATCTTATTTTTTCTATGGCAAAAAAGGGAAAAATTGTACTTACTCTAGAGTCTGCTGATAACTTTTAATATTATCTGGATCTCTAAGATTAATTTAATGGTAAATTGCTAATAATACGAAGTGAGTGTTTTTTAGAAGAAACTTTTCGGTTCTAGTATTTCCAGTATCTTCAATGCTAAATTTGGATGTTTTTCTCAAAATCTTTAGTGTTTTTCTACATTAGATTCAAAATTTGGAAAGAGAGATTCAGGAAAAGAGGAGGCAAATGAGGGTGTTAGAGCAGCGTATAATTGAGAGTGGTGAAGCTTCAATTGCTAATGCATCATTCGTGGATATGCAGCAGGTAGTTTTCTCATCCTGTTTATTATATTATTGTTTTCAGTAATATATTCAAACTATGTTCCTTTGTTTGGGCCTTAATGCCATTGGCCTTGGCTTAATTAATTCTAAATGCTTCTTGTTGCAACAGACAGTTATGAGATTGATGACCCAGTGTAACGAAAAGAGTTTTGAGCTGGAGGTGAGTGATTTGATTTTTCTGATTTATGGAATTTGAAGGGCACTGTTCCCCCATTGACTAAGGCTTGAGAGTGATTCTTTATTTTCATTGTGTAATCATGTTGATTCTTCTCCATGATACAGATAAAATCAGCAGATAATCGTATCCTCCAAGAACAATTGCAGGACAAGGTGAAAGTTTTGGGCTTGATGTCTTTTTTCCTACATTCACAAAATGACTCTAATATAAATTTTAGGGTAGCACTTGGTCGATCATTATATTATACCTCTTGGTGGTTTCTCCATTTATATAATTATGCAACTGTTTTGATTTATGGTTTTGGTTGTTGGCAGTGTTCTGAGAATGAGAAATTGCAGAAGAAGGTGAAGCTTCTGGAGCAGCGGTCGGCATCTCTCTCCGGCGACAAATTACCATTGTCCTCTGAACTGGGAATACCCGAAGAATATTCTGACGAGTTAAGAAAAAAGGTTCAATATCAGGTAAATAAATATTGCTGGGACTGTCCAATTGGGCTTCAGCTGCTTTATTTTCATGTAGTAATATTTCCTATTCTTATATGATTTTATGAAATATTACCAACATGCTTCTTCCTGTTAAAAGAAAAGATTTAATTGTCTTTAGCATGGTCCTTTGTCTTCCTTGCACCTTTGAACTGATCCTAGACTGAGTTGTGCTTATATATGCAGGAGACCGAGAATGAAAAACTAAAAGTAGAACTGGTGCAGCTTTCAGAGGAGAACAGTGGGTTGCGGGTTCAAAACCAAAAACTAATTGAAGAAGCTTCATATGCCAAAGAATTGGCGTCTGCTGCTGCTGTTGAGTTAAAAAATTTGGCTGGTGAGGTGACCAAGCTCTCGGTACAGAATGCAAAACTGGAGAAGGAATTATTGGCTGCTCGAGAGTTGGCAAACATTAGAGGCTCCGCTAACCAGACTGTCAATGGTTTCAACCGCAAGTATAGTGACAGCACGAGAGCTGGAAGAAAGGGGAGACTCTCTGGCATCTCAAACGGCCTTTCTGGAGCAGCTGGTGATGGTTTTGAGTCATGGAATCTTGATCTCAATGATCTAAAGATGGAACTGCAGGCTAGGAAACAACGGGAGGAAGCTCTTGAAGCTGCACTAACTGAGAAGGAATTCATAGAAGAAGAATACAGAAAAAGGGTTGAACAAGCAAAGAAGAGGGAGGAAACTCTGGAGAATGATTTAGCAAACATGTGGGTTCTTGTTGCTAAGTTGAAGAAAGAGGTAGCGGCTAATCCTGAGAGTAATACAGATAAGCAACATACCAATGGCATGACTAATGCCGAAGATCCAAAAGCAAACAACACTGACAGTAACAATGTCCTCAAAGAGCGACAAGTTTCAGAAGTGTCATCAAAACCAGCCAATGAAATACCCAAGGAAGAACCCCTGGTTGTTCGGCTGAAGGTTTGTTACTGTTTAAGATAATCTGATATAAAGCATGTGTGTTTGTCTTTTTGAACTACACTCAGTCATACCGTGCGATTCAGAATTCTGAAACTATAACGTGCATTATCAAACAATATTTACTAATCTTGATAGGCTTAGGAGCTTGTGGTTGATTCATTATTGAACAATATTACATCATTTCTGGATGTTAATGGTTTTACGTAGACCACTTCAACTTAATGTCTTCAATACTTACAGGCCCGAATGCAAGAGATGAAGGAAAAAGAGTTCAAATCCCTGGGAGATGCCAATTCCCATATGTGTAAAGTATGTTTTGAGTCACCAACCGCAGCAATTCTTCTCCCTTGTCGGCATTTTTGTTGTAAGTCACTTTCTATGCCATAAATGATATCCCGCACGTTGATCAACTGCTTTGTTGAAAATGCATATGCTTTGATATTGCAGTATGTAAATCTTGTTCGCTCGCTTGTTCCGAGTGTCCTATTTGTCGCACAAAGATATCAGACAGACTTTTTGCATTCCCTTCTTGATACAACTATTTCAACCCTCCTTATGAAGGTCGTAAATTTCTCCTATTTCTTTTTTCAGTATCTCACACTGGATCTTTTTCTATTTTCTGATCATGAAATGTTGACACTCAGCTTTTGAACCATTTGCAGGAGTTCGTGATCACCTGTTTGATATTTTCAATGTGAAGCGGTTGCAATTCTTTCATTAGATTGTCTGTGTGTAGCTGTTTAAAAAAGGTAGTTGAATATCATCAGTTTTTCTCTATTGAATGGCTGTAAAAATAAGTGTTTAAAGGTTAAAAAGATTTAAGAAAAGTATAAGAAAAGGTAAAATCACCATATCCAAAAATTTAAAAAACAAGATGATATGTTTCTGTTTTAGCTAAAGGTTGTGATCGGTCTTTTTGAACTTTCGATTTTCAATTGATAAATGTACAGAAACAACGAGCGCTTCTTATGAAGTAATTTTCCTTTTTCGTTATTTTTTATTTTTATTTTTTTAGGACTATAACTTTCAAAGCAAAATGAAAAAAATAATGGTATCTAGAGGTTTAGTAATTTGAAATTGAATTTATTCGTTATTTAATAATTAATAATTATATTTATACCATTAATATAAGAAAAATATAAAATTTACAACAGTTCTACAGAATTATATAAACCTGTTGATTCGGTCTACAGAATAATTTCGAGGAATATAAAGAGACAGCTGAAGATTAGAAACCTCAAGTACCGAAGTTATTCTCAGATGATGAAATGGAGCCATATTGTTTTGTCTCCCTTTACAGGTAATAATTGGTCCAAAGTCTGCGTGAAATCATATAAACATTCTTTAAAAAAAGGGTCAATCAAAAGCTAAAAACTGTCTTCTTTATAATCGATTCAATATGTAAACCTTAAAGAAACCATCTACACCAGCAGATGAAGGCTCAGGAAAATCATCCACATGCCAGCCTGGTAACGTCTCCATCATGTACCCCTAAACACTGCTTGTTGAAATCGAAGCATTATCTTCAACCATGTAAGTCGTTGAAGTAGAAGCCAATGGAAGTCGAACCCAAGTTTTCGTTATTAGGGACTGAAAAACGGATGAAGAGCTTTTAGTATCGGAGTCAATGGTTGCAGCATTAGAGGATGATGAAGATGGACTCAAAGGAAGTGAAGAAGAGAGCTCAACACCCGTGAGAAGGAACCTGTTATGTTTCTGGGTATTTTCATTGGCTCTATGAATTGAAAGGTCACATTCTCTACAGAATATTGCCGTCTTCTTGAACAAAAAAGAAACGCTCGTCTCTCCTGCAAGATTTAATATAATGTTAAAAATATCTCTTACTTTTGATTAAGTAATCTTGACGACTCCTTTTTTTTTTTTGGGTGTATTTTAGTCTCCCAAAGTTTATTTTAGGGTTAAAAGGCCGTAGATGAAAATATTAATTAACAAACGATTAAAGCTCCAAAATAAAATATTTTTATCTTAAAATGAAAATGTTAGGTTCTAAAAAAAATAGGAACCAAAATAACTATTTAGAGAATGATTTTGACATTATATCTTTTTTATTTTACGCTGAATACGTATATAATTAGTTTATGAAGCAATTTACAAGCTTACAGGAGGAAGAACAGAAGATTAGAAGGCGTGGGTGGATGCTTAATTCACAAAGAGTTGTAGTTGGCATTGAAGACCATCATTTCTCTACTTAGCTTGGACTCCTGTAGGGAATAGATAGAATTTAGGCGAGTTAAAATACCTTGCTGGTAAGGATATAATAAACCAATTTCTTTTATCAAACAAAACACCACCCTTCATTACACAGAGTCGAACTCATCTCCCACTCCACACTTCTTTTAGTATACAGAGGTATGAAGTGTACTTAAATATTTGTTTTAATTATTCGTCTTTTAAAATTAACAAAATAACTTTTAAAATTTATTAAATAATTATAATTTATCACTGTAATATTATTACAAGTACTTAATTTTGTTAGGGCCTTTAATTCAAGATAGAGCTTATTAAGCCTTGAGGAAAGAGCCACCGCCAACCGTCGTGTTCTTGTAAAAGGACCCTTAGTCTTGGTGCGTGAATAATTTTTCAAATGAGACTTGACAATTGAGTCGTTTATCTCAACGGACTTCGAAATTTTAATATTTACATTTGATTTGAGATCTTAATTTTAAAATTTGGACTTTCAATTTATATATTGTATGTGTTGAAATTAATGTTATGACTTATGAGGTCTCAATCTGATTCGAAATTGAATACCGAACCTGACATAGCTTCTTCCTTGCCTACTGATGTGGGAGCTACTTACACTTCAGTCTCCAAGGAAACAAAGGATCGACTTCATTAAGAGTTGCTCACTGCAGGAGATTAAATTGAAGAAGATTAGAAGAAAGCGCAAATAGAGGGAGCTTAGAAGAAAGTCAGTGGTGCTTCTGCCACTAAAGGAGGTAATTGTATAGATCGAGTCGATAAGATCAATAATCAATCATGTTCAGGCTGGAATATAGTGTAGTAGTAATATGAATTAATTCCACGTTGATAATAGGAATTTAAATTGCAGTTGTGATCTATCGTTATTGATGTGGTTCTTTTTAATATCATTATATTTTATAATAATAGTTTTAGATATTCATGTTGTCGTTATATAACAACCATTATTCTATTATTTGATCGTTATTTGAATCTCTGGTATATAATATTTAGGGATCGAAATGAGTCTGATCAAATTTTTATCAATTCAGTCCGGTCTGAAAAGCATACCTCTCTATTTAAATTTGATCTGATTTAATCTAAACTTATTTTTAAATTAAAAAAACTAATTCTATCAAGCTAAATTAGATCGAAAATCATTAAAATTGAATCAAAATATCATCCCTAAAATACTCATATCTGGATTGAGTTTTCTTTTTCAAAGTTTATATTGAATTCTGATGTAGTTTGAATAATAAAGGAACCAATTATCCATTAATTGGCCCAAAAATCATTCTCCATCGTTACCAAACGCTGCACGGCCTAGTGTGTGTGATTCAGCCTACCGCCATTAAAAACTGCATTATGTTTTTACCTCCGCTGAGACGACGTCGTTGGAAACCTGTAAAATGGAAAGGAAAGACGACTTTACGAAGTACAAAGTAAACAATAAAAAAAACAAGTCGCTCAGATCATAAAAAAGAACGAGCAAGAGAGAATCGAAGAACTTCTCTTTCTCGTATAAACTCCAAAAAATTCAAAGACGCTTCCGTTTTTTTTTTCTTTTTGTTCTTAACATTGGACGTTGCATCAGATCTGAAGGTAATTTCTTTTCAAATCTTTGTTTAATTCCTAAATCCTCTTCTTGTTCTGTTCACGCTGTTAATCTTTTTTCTGACCTTCGATTTGGTTCGATTTCGCAGAGAATTGACAGTCAGAGAGGAAAAAAGAATAAAAAAGAAAGATGTTGACGAAGTTCGAGACGAAGAGTAATAGAGTGAAAGGGCTGAGTTTCCACTCTAAGAGGCCGTGGATCTTAGCTAGTCTCCACAGTGGTGTTATCCAGTTATGGGACTATCGAATGGGCACTCTGATTGATCGGTTCGACGAACATGATGGCCCTGTTCGCGGCGTCCATTTCCACATGTCTCAGCCTTTGTTTGTCTCTGGAGGTTCAGATTTCATTTCCTTTAACCTCGATTTTGATCTCTGCTTAATAAATCATTTTGATATGGTTACATTAGTGATGTGTGGATTTAGATGTGAACTTTTAAATTGTAGTGGTTACTTAGGATTGGATTAGCTTAAGTTTTGGAGCTCTTTTAATCTTAAATCCACATGAAATTTAAGGAATCTGATGCCTAGACATGCCAGATCTAGGCTTAGTCATGTGGTTGGACTTGGTTTATACCTTTTACATCTGATGGTTTAAGCAAATGAATGTTAGCTGAATTATAGATAGAATTATGTAGGATACGTCTGTGTTTGGGTGAATGCATATATGGTATACATTATTCAGTGGTTTTATGTATTCTATGTGGTACTTCGAAAGCACAGATCTGTTTCTGTTGTTTTTAAAAAAAATTAAGGTGATAAATGAAATGTTTTATTTGACACCGCATATATTTTTATTGCTCCAAGGTGATGTTGTTGAGTTTATTAATTTAATCTTTCTGGAATTGGTCAACTTGGGGAAAAATAACCTGGCACTGGTCAGCCAACACTATTATTGGCTCAAATTTTTTTCATTTGTATTATGATTTTCTTTTTCAAAGCATGTGGTTCTTGTGCAATAGAAATTATACAAGAATTGATGTTTTTTTTTCATTTTTTTTTATAAAAAGGGGATGACTACAAGATTAAAGTCTGGAACTACAAGTTGCATAGATGTCTTTTCACACTTCTTGGACATCTTGATTATATTCGTACTGTGCAATTTCATCATGAGCATCCATGGATTGTGAGTGCCAGTGATGATCAGACTATTCGCATTTGGAACTGGCAGTCACGAACTTGCATCTCAGTCTTGACTGGTCATAATCATTATGTTATGTGTGCGTCATTCCATCCTAAAGAAGACCTTGTTGTGTCGGCCTCTCTTGATCAGACTGTTCGAGTTTGGGATATTGGTTCCTTGAAAAAGAAGACTGCCTCCCCAGTTGATGACATTTTACGGCTGAGTCAGATGAACTCGGATCTTTTTGGTGGTGTTGATGCAATAGTTAAGTACGTATTGGAAGGTCATGACCGAGGAGTAAATTGGGCTGCATTTCATCCCACCCTACCTTTGATACTCTCTGGAGCAGATGATCGCCAAGTCAAATTGTGGCGTATGAATGGTAATTAATTGAAAGCCATGCATTCTTCTCCAATTTATATTTCATTTGTTAGACATATTGATTGGAGCTTTTCGTTAAGTACACTAGTTGACCTGTTAAATTCTTTATAAAAACTTGTCTAATTATTTTATTTTCTTACATTTGATGTATGGTACATGGCCTTTGATATTTTAGCCAAGCTACCCCAACTCTTCTGATATATGTTTTCCCTAGCAGGGAATTTAAACCCCTTGATTATTGTGGAGTTGGTTATATTGTTTATTTTCTTAAGTTTGATGTATGTTACAATGCATTTGATATTTTAGCCAGGCTACCTCAACTCTTATAATATATATATTTTTGTAGCAGGGAATTTAATCCCCTTGATTGTTGTGGAGTTGAGTATATTGTTTTTTTTTTTTTTTTTGCAGATACAAAGGCTTGGGAAGTAGATACCTTGAGAGGACACATGAACAATGTTTCATGTGTTATGTTCCATTCCAAACAAGACATTATTATATCTAATTCCGAGGATAAAAGCATTCGTGTGTGGGATGGAACAAAGCGAACTGGACTTCAAACTTTCCGTCGAGAGCATGACAGATTCTGGATACTTGCTATTCATCCTGATATGAATGTTTTAGCAGCTGGACACGACAGTGGCATGATTGTATTTAAGCTAGAGAGAG